GTGTGCAAAATACGATGAGTGACATGTTTAGTTATTATCATTTATCAGTTTTGTTTCTATATGTATTTTCTTTTTTTAGTGCCATGAAGAAAAAAAACAGTTGGACCGTGTACTACTTTAAAAATGTCAAGAAACGCCTATAGTATTGACGCCATCAAATGTCCATATAAATCATTAAAGCGGTTCTCGAAGATCCGAATCAAAATTCATCTCATACTGTCAGTGATTCAAAACGCTGAATGCAGAACTATCGCTTGGTAAACATAAACAAAAATGTTAATTTTTTTAAAAAAACAACAATGTTTAAAATAGGCCTTATCTTTTAATCTGTTTAATGTATGTGATTTGTTTTTGTATAGTCTTGAATATTTTAAAATTTTTACTATAATTGACTAATATTTGTTTTTTCAAATATTTTTAACCTTTTATTACGTGTAAATCGGTTCATTTTACAATTTATTTCAACCCAAAATTGATGAAACTTGTTTTTGTAGTATTCCCTAGTGGATGGAGAGTATGGCGAGCCTGAAGATGAAGTGATGACACTTCGAAACCGGTCGCACTCAATGTTTTATTAAACAATTAAACATTGGCTTTCCTTGTGAGATATAAAGGACTTTTTCTCACCCTTCACCTTAAAATTACCTCAACTCACACATGGCTACCCCCCTTGTCAAAATATTTAATATCACAAGCGCATAAAAAAGAAAAAGTCTCAGTCTCAACAGGAATAAGAAAAACACTCTGGTAACACTTGTAAGTTTTGCTTTTAGTGTAATCTGATTATCTTCATGAACATTAGATTAACTACTTTATCACTCTTTATCAACCCCTGCAATAGTATTTACACCTTTTTTTGTATACATATTTATATTTATTTTATCTGACTATACATTTGATTATATCAAAATTAAAAAAATTATGTAAAGTCGAAAAAAATAAATAAAGAATATGTATAACTGTATGGAAGGGTAAATGATGTAGTAGAGGTTAGTTTAGAGCGATAGGTATTATCTCCAAAGTTCACGAAAAGGTATTCGTCATGTAGGATTGCACTAAATGCAGGTTATAGGTACATTTATCTATAAATCACAGATAAGTTCAAAGAAAGATTACAAGTAAAGTACGTACAGCTTCTAGGTAACATTAACTGTAATCCTTGCTTAAGACTAAGTGTAAAAGTTAGGTACAACAAATGAAGAACTTAATTGATTACTTGTAAATTACATATACATTATATATGTCGATTTCAAGTATTAGGATGAAAGTTACAGATAAATACATATAAATTGCAGATTAAAATATTTATGGGCTATAAGTAGCTAAGTCTATTTGTTAAGTGTAGTGGGTTAAACCTCTTTTAATATTTATAATTAGTTACCTGTACCACACAGATGTTCGTCCTGAAGTACACTTGTTGGGTTGTGACGTCATTAATTTTTATGACGTATATTTAACTATGGTTTTCATTTAATGCTAGTTACAGTTATTTCCACTATGTAGATTTCAGTTATACACTTAGAATTTTCTCCCAGAGTAAAATTTTATTTGCATCTAAATAATTTAAAAGCCTGTCTTTTAAGAGAGATTCAAATATTTTTGATAACGAAGATGTTAATGATATGGATCGATAATTTGTTAATAACGTTTTTTGCCCCGTTTTAAAGTTGGAATAATTACTGCATTTTTAAATTGTGAAGGAACTTGACCAGTAGAAAACATTTTGTTTATTAAATAAGATAGTGGAGACGATATATAGTCTACAATTGTCTTTAGCGTTTCATTTTTGCTTTCCTATCTGTATGCAGATAAGAAAATTATAGAAATCATGATTTTTAATGTTATCGCTACCTGGAGATTTTTTATGTTTTAGATTTAAAATTTTCTCTTGTACTTCTTTGGGTGGTGTGTTTTTTAAAAACGTGGACCTTTGTATAATTCGGCAGTTTTTTGCTTGTAATTTGCAGGTTCAATTTTGGATGCTAACTTTTTCCCTACATTTGTAAAAAAATTATTTAATGATTCAACGATTTCATCATCTTTATTTAAAATTTTATTACAGTCTTCTACTATTTTCTTTATCAGTATGTCTTTTTTGGGTTTACTACTCTATTCTTTTACCACTTCCGATAATTTATTTGAATTTCGAGAGTTAGAATTTATTTTCTTTTTGTAATAGTTATATTTACTTTTTTTAATAGTAAATTTAGCTTATTTCTGAAGATATCATAACTAAATTTTAAGGCTAATATATTTGGATTTATTGGAAATTGTTGATATATTTTGTTCCTTATTTTGATTGAAGTTATAAGACCGGTAGTTATCCAATCTTTCTTTTTAGATACTTGTTTTTTGACATACGTTATACTTGATTTTTTAATAAGGTCTTGAATACTTGAATATCATTTTCATTATAGAGAAAGTCCCAAGAATGTTCCTTTGCAAGCATAATCAATTTTTTTTTTTTTATAAAAATGTATTTTATTGTTGTTTTGTTTTTTCTAATAATACTTCGGGAGAGTATATTACTATCGACTATGATTGCATAGTGATCTGATAATTTAGTTTTTTAACAATTGATGGTAAAATGTCATTAAAATAACTCTCTGATTTTATTTTAGCAAAAATATGGTCAATGCAAGTAGCTGAGTTAGCGATAACTCTTGTTGGTTTATTAATAAAAGATTTAAAACCTTTTTCATGTAATATAGTACGGTATTCGTTGACTTATTCATCAGCTTCTTGCATTAAATCAATATTAATATCCCCTATTAAATAAAATTGTAAGTATTCATTTATGTTTGTTTTGTCGACGAAAGATTTGATGCCTTTATTAAAATCTTTTATTTTCGCTATAATGCTAAAATGCCTATTTTTTGATTTTCAAAAGTCAGTTCAATCATAATAACCAGTTTCGATTTTAATTATACTGAAAATATATGTCATCCCGTATATAGACCGCTATTCCGTCATTTTGATTAATATGTTGATCGCTATGTATCATTTGATATCCTGGCATATTAAATAAGCTATTATTTTTAATGTCTCTTGTTTCTGTAAGCGCTATGGAAGAATACCTAAAGTTCGTCGAAGTGTTTATATATACTAGATATATTATTGTGAAATATACTAAAGGAAGAATTGTCCCTTCGTTTTTTAAATATACTACAACAATTTGCGGATTCTTCTTCGAGAGTATCTATATTTATAGGTGTATAATTTTTGATATATTGATCCATTTAATTTTTTTAATGTAATTATAATACAATTATAAATTACAAATTCAGTATAAAAGTATTTTTATTTTTAAAAACACATGTAAGTAATAAAAAAGTTGTGTCCACAGTATAACATACACTTTCAAATTTAAAACGATTTGCTATAAATGATAATTTAACCAAATAATTTTGACTGTTTTGTCTTGTAGTTCTTTTATTGGTGGTGGACGGCTTCTGATTATTATTTTTGATTGATTGTGAATTTCTGTGTTTTTCTCTATTATTTCCGTAATGAAGGCATCTTCACTAAGATTATCTAGTTCTTCTGTTATAATCAGTTTATTATTTACGTACAGTTGATTGTTTCTTATGTATGCTTCTTGTTTATTTTTGCTTGTGTTAAATATTTGTAGCGTTCTGAGAGAGATTGATAGTCTTCTTGAATGTAGTCCCTAGAAATACAAATTCCAGAGGTTTTTGGAGTAGCTTGATTTTCCAGAATATTTGTTGATAATTTGAAGTGGACAAATTAAATCAGCATGGGTCTAGGATTAACAGAGTTTTCTGTTACTTTCCCTATTCTGTAAATATCTCGAATATCATGGAATCTACATTCAATATCCAAATTCGTATTATTCAATTTAAGAAATGCGTTGACATCTTGTAGATTGACGTCTCTTTCTCTCTAGCCATATATGATTAAATTATATTTTTTTGACTTTCTTCTATTTTTCAATGCTCTATTTTTTAACTAATAAAGCTGTATTTTCAAATAGACGTCCTCCGTTTTCAAATTTTCTATTTATTTGTTTAAATCTACTCTTAAAGTAAAAAAGTAAAAACTCCCTTTTTTATTTCGTTGTTTTGCTTTTTAATTTCTTCGTTACTAGCTATTAAATGTTTTAAGAGTTAAAATATCTGCATTCGTAACCGTTTCTTCATTTATATCAACCATTTGATTTGCCAAGATTAATAAAATACTTAATTTGTCCAGTTGGATTTAACCAAAAGATTTATTTGTAAGAAGAGATTTCTGACAATTTACATTTGTTTGAAAATTAAAATGCCATTTATACCGTTAATATTGCTATTTTCACTAGCCAACAGTGATATTCAATTTGTAAATATATTTGTACATTACCTATTGGAATTTCAGAATTTTATTTGATTGTTTAACAACTTAAACTAAATAACTTTGCGGAGCACTTTTTACAACGTTTCGACGCCTGATATACAATCTATAAATGATTTGAGTGTTATTATTTTAAAAATCATATTTTTGCTAAAGGTTTCCAAGAAATGAGAATGTAATTTTTCATTTTGAGAAACAAGAAATTTCACAAATTCTCTCTCTCTCTCTCTCTCTCTCTCTCTCTCTCTCTCTCTCTCTCTCTCTCTGTCTTCTGTCCTCACTAACTCGAGTTCATCATTTTTACCTCTCTACTTCTCAATCATTTTTTACTTTAATCGTAATTTCCTATAGTTTAGTTTAGTTCATTTTAACTTTTTCAATTACAATACATCAGACAAATTCTGAAATTGGAAAATTTGAGATATTGTATTTCTGATCTACACAAGTATAAAAATAACCCTCTAGGTAACCTCAACTTTTAACCCATATTTTTAGGCCAGATGATGGCCCATAGAGGCCGAAACTAGTAGCCGCTTGTTCAAACAACATTAAAAACTATGTAGTGAATGATTTCAAGTTTTTTTTCCCTATTTTAAAGAATTGTTTGCGGGAACCGCTTGTTTTCAGCTGAAGCCACTAGACTATTAGAAGTCGAGGTGACCCCACCTGTACTTACCATCGTCATCACCATCGACTGCTAGTGCAGGAGATCGCCGTGGTTGGATGTAAAATCCACCAGAGTCGGTGAGCGCCAGGCCATCAGAAGACACAAACGCAAACGGTACGTACCCAGGCACTTCAAGTGGATGTCTTAAGTTCAAATTAGACCATCGGTGTTACAGCTCCTGCTGCAGAATTGTGATTTTTGTTGTGATTTGTTATTGCAGTGTATGAAGTGAACTAAGTGCAGTAACTACCTTGACCAGAAATTTGGATTACTGCCTTATTATTTAGGTGAGATATTTTGATTTGATCGTTTGATAGATGTTAGATAATAAGAAGGTTAACCAAAAGGAGAATAGCTAGAGATAAAATCTCGATTGCGGTTGTATAAGGAAATGTAGATCATCAATTTATTGCAAAATCATTTAATATGATTGATCAACAAATTTGGAAGTGGGAATTTCACCCCACTATTGTTCAAGTTAACAATTTTAAAATATGTAAGGGTAAAAGCAAACTATTGAAGTTAATTTCATTATTTTTTTAAAAATTTAGACATTTCAAAAATAGACGAACTTACTGCAGACTTTTTCGCATTTTAAAAAGTTATACAGTGTGTCTCCAACATTTACTCTCCACCGTGTAAGTAACTATTTAATTATAAAATAAACTAAAATTTAGGTAAAAGATAAAGTATCATGACGACAATTAAACATTTATATTTTAAATCGGACACCCTATATATTTTATTATTTATCCATATTAGACTTTTCGTTTATTATGTCTTTATACTGGGGCTAGTCGAGGAGTACAAATTATAGACATGACCGCAGCAGGACAAGGCAGGATCTGGCAGGACTTACAAAGACAAGGCAGGATCGGCGGAGGACCTGATAGGATAGGGCAGGAATAAACAGGACTTCTTAAGTACTGCCAAATTGACAGTAGGTGTGGCTTTTAGAGATAGTTAGACGTCCCTGTGGATAGGGATACCAAATTAAAAAATACAATTTCCTGGCATACTTAAAGAAAGATCTGGATATTTATCTAAAAATCTGGACAAAATAATAAAACCCCAACTCATGAAATAATTACTAAACGGTTTATTAAAGAAAGTACATAACGATCTGTTTTTACGGAATTTAAAGTATACCTTAATACAATTGATAATTTTCCTGAAAATTCCGGACAATGTATAATTCCTGGCGCATTTTGGACAAAACGTCAAAATTCCGGACAGGTCCGGACTTTTCCAGGCGTCTAGAAATTCTAGCCTATCACTTTGGTAGTAAGTGAAAAAATTATCGGCCGGATCAAGTAGGACTTGGCAGTACAGATGCTTCTTTGGTGTGTTTTTGAGAGGTTTGCATTTTTAAAATAATAGTAGTTTGTGCAACAAGAGTGGATATGATGGCCATATCGCAATGTATGCGAAGACGAAATTTGAGAACGACGCCGTAGGCGGAGTGCTCAATCATCTGAGAGCGATGTGGATGTGGACTTCCACCTCTTCACTATGTGATACAAGGGGAGGCAAGATTAGGTGCTTACAGATTAGGGAATACACTGGAAAATCTTGACATTAGGCCAGGTCACATGAGTATCTCAAGGTTAGTGACAGGAGACGTGCTAGACATGAGATCAGACTACATAACCAAGAGATACTCTTTTAATACTCCATTTGAGGTTTTAATACAGGAAAGAGCGAAGATCACCATAATGGAGCCCAATTCCCTATGACAGAAACGAACCTGGTATACAGACGAGTCTAAGACTGCCAATGGGGCGGGAGTATTCTCCAAAAATCCTGATACTAACCAAAGCTATTTCCTCGATATTTCAGGCCAAGGTATATGCAATTTTGCAATGTGCAAAAACGAACAATGAAAGAGCTGTCGAAAATCAGCATATTCAAATAATGTCAGACAGCCAAGCGGCACTTAAGGCCATATCGAGTGAGAAAGTTACGTCGAGGCTGGTATGGGAATGCATCAAAGAACTAAGAACACTGGCAGACCGAAATAGAGTAAAACTATTTTAGGTGCCAGGTCACCAAGGGATAGAAGGCAACGAGAAGGCTGACGAACTTGCAAAAAGAAGGTCAGAAGAAACACCGGAAACAAACACAAACCCAGGAGTACCAAAAAGTACAGTCCGGGGTTTCATAAACGACTGAATTCGCGAACAACATATTAACTATTGGGGAAGCACCCCAAAACAGGCACATGGAAAAGCCTTGATAGGCAGACCATGTCCCAAAAGAACTGGAGAACTACTCTTTATGAATAGGAACCAGTTGAACCAGGGAACTTATGTGCCGACTATGTCACAAGAAACCAGTAAAGGCCAAGCACATACTGTACGAATGCGAAGCTCTAGATCGCAAAAACAGGCACTTTTTGGACAACCCCAGGTTGTTCCAACAACGTATAGAACCCACTCACCCAAGGATCTGTACAAACTTGTACAAGGTACAAAGGTGACAGAGTGGGTGCTATGAACTAGCATGGGGTAAATCACAATAAGCCAATAGGCTTCAGTGTTATTCGGAGACATAGTCAGACGAGCCTAGGAGAAAAAAAATCCACATGAGTTGTACAGTATACTTTTTCAACGATCCACTAAAGAAAATTTACAAATAAATACAATATTTTAGGTTATTAAGACAAAATAACTAATTTTAAAATAATTTATGACTTTTAATATTTTAAAACAAATTAAACAAAAAAAAAAATAGAAAAAGTTCATTTCATTTTTCCCCATCCGTGAATCGAGCTCGAGTCTTCCGTGTGGCAGACAAGAATGCTAACTACAGGTCCACCTATTCTTTTATTTTTGTTGCTTTAATACTCGTAATTAAATTGACTTTATATAGTTTTATTTAAATTAACAAATAATTTATAATTATAGACGAAATAAAAACAGAAATGCTATTATTATTATTGATTCTACACAAGAATAACCCATTTTAATGCATGTTTAATCTTAATAACTAAAAAATATACTAGCAATTAGTTTGACAGAATTGTTACTTATTTAAAAGTTTAAAAATAATAGCAGTCGCTTGATCAAAATATGAACGGTGATTGGTGGATTTTATTTTTTGCAGTGTTCTCACTACCTTGAATGGATATGAAATATATTCGTTCAGTTGAAGGCAATAGCATACTTTTTCGTTTTGTAATCTGTGCAAAGATAAGCTAATATCCATGCGGGTGTAGAGAAAAGAATTTTTGCTTGAAATACAAGAGTTATCAAGTTATATAATATAAATACTATTAATATTGATAATCAAATTCACTAAGATTATTTTTTTACTAACGGTTTCTTTGTAAAAAATACATTGACAATTAATTTGACAGATATTTTACTAATTTTCAATTACAAGGAATAGTCAGCCGGATTTTATATCCTTATTAGAATGGATATAAAAGTATATCCCTTCAGTAAACCAATTACGCCTACTTATTCGTTGTGTAGTTTATGTACAAAGTTGATTATATACATGTGAGTGTAGATTTTTTGCACTAATTTTTATATACCTGAGTTTTAAAAGTCTAAGTCCAATCATAATTTCATTTAATATAAAATTATATAAGATTAAACAGTTGTCACGTTCCTAACTTACAATATACGTAATATTGTTATATTCCCGTATTAATATATTTTTTAGATTCTCTGGGGTCTATTTATTCTGTAACAATTCCTTTATATTTAACGGCCTTTAAAAATATTTTCTTCTTCACTTATGTCATTATTTAAACAGATCTTTAAAATACATTAGAGGACTATCTAAAAGAAATCTGTTTAAATAATGACAGAAGTAAATTAACGAGTACGAAAATATTTTTAAGGCCGCCAATGGTTTTAAAGGCCGTTAAATATAAAGGAATTGTTACAGAATAGACCCCTTTATCTGTTATATAGCATATAAAATATTCCTGTAAAAGACGTATAGGCATAAGATCAAGTAAAGGCACTGGATAAAAAAAACCGTCTATACTGAAGTCAGAATATTTTAAATTTAACCAGTAGATATATCTTGGAAGTGAAGAACTTGAATGATTTATATTATATCTAATTTTTTATGACTCAATGATCTATTATAACTATTAACAATCATATTTAAATGAAAAATCCATAGAATTGTTTATAACTTGTTAGCGATTACATGCAATTATCGGGAATTGGCTAGAAATAATTCTCTGAAACGAGAGACTACAGAAAATCGTTGAACATTACGAAAAACTGAAGTTGATTTCTCCAATACCTGTATACAGTGTGTCCCACAATAAGTGAAAAATAATTAAATATATCGTAGACGACACAGCCACATTTTACAAAGAGGATAATAATTGGTAACGAATAAAATTAATAGTTTAGTCTGACTTTACTCTCATTTCAGAAAAATTCCTTACATTAAATATAAACAAACTATTTACTTTTCAGTTGTAACTTAGTGGTACTTCCAAATTTTAATAAATTGTGTATAGCTTATATTAAACAATTAAAATATTTAGGTGTTATTATAGATGTTTACCAAAAATGGGACTTACTTATACATATTTCACAAATGAACTAAATTAAGAACTATTTTTTAAATCGTGAGAAAGATTGATGTAAGTCAGTTTTTGATTACAGTATTGTATGAATGTATATTTCAGTTTTTATGAAAAATATGTTAATTTTGTTGAATGTAAAATATTAATTTTTAGATAGAAGATAGATAGGCATGGTAGAGGTAGACGTTCAGATACAATGAAAATAAGGCTTTCATTACTCTTTTCTGTGCCACAAACGCTTTGTTTCTATGTGAGATGATGTACCTCAAAAGAAGCTTGAATACATCAAAATTTACAGTCTTTCTGATAATATAGCAACACCAGCTTATTTTTTTAGTCACATTAGTCGTTAGCTTAGTGTCTAATGTAATTGCCAAAAATTTCACATTGTACTATTTTGTATAAAACTATTTATATATAAATATGGTTCAAGATCTGGGTTGATATTCGTGGGTTAAACGCATGAATTTAGTTTTTATGCTTTTAATGCCACACCATTATCTTTAAAATATTTATTTTGTAAAACTCAAAAGATATTGCTGCTTTGCACAAGGTGTTCGAATTGATAATCTTCTATAAGAATGTTTGTATCATCAGCATATGGAATAATCTAGTGGAGCCTGATATACGATTTATTAATATCACTTACAAATATTATAAAAATACTGTCTTCAATATTGATCCTTGCGGTAATCCGGTATATCCGGTATATTTTCGCTATCCCCGATA